CCGGTTCTTACTTCCAGTGCTCCTCTAACGGACCTGTACGTTCTAGTTCTACTTGCATATGCAGGATTGTAACCTCGCTCGGCCCTCTGCGGTGAGGGAGCGCGCCGGTCGAATCTGGACGCTCACACACCGCTCGACCCCGTCCGTCAGTCGCCGGGGAGGAGCGCGCAAACCTCTCAGCATTTCCAGTCACGCGCTCACTGAGTCTGTTTCCATGGCAACCAGGAGGGTACCCAACACATCCCTCCAAAGGCGTTTGGCTGGTGGGGCTTTCACTGCTTTGTGTTCACTGCAAGAATAACAAATTCATTGTAGTTTATTTTGGCATTGCATCACATTCAGCGATGAAAGGACCGTCATAATTCTTCACACGGTCCAAAATATCGTCCAATCAAAACTCATCAGCTCTCCTCGTGTGAGGAACGCAGAGCAGAAAATAAGGGTTACCAGCCTGTGAGACAGGCAGCTCATTAAAAATAGATGGGCAGTGATGTTTTCAGTACTAACAGTACAAACAGAAAGTTAGCAAATTACAACACATCACTGCAGCCTGGGGTCGTTTAATTTGTGTTAGGGAGCAAAATGACCTTTTTTGACCTCAGCATGACATCCTGGGGTCATCACAATGCCAGAGCCTCACAGACACATCTCACTTTTTTGCTTTGAATGAAATGAAGAGATGCTTTTTCACACCTACTCAATACATATATGTGCCTTACTTATTCCCTGTGATGTAGATATATTATATTTAGTATGGCTTCTGCTGATGTCTGCTCCACCTGGACCTTCACAGTCCTGCACATTTTATATTAGGTAGATTTTTTTGATTCAGTTTTTTCTTACATTTTGCACTCAGATCCCACTCCTGTGTATAAAAATGTACTTGGCTTATAAAGAATGATAAATGATGAGTTTGGAGTAATTGCAGTCCACAGCTGTCCGAGTGCTGAATGATTATAAACCCAGTACTGAATGATTATAAACTCTGAATGGTTATAAACACAGTACTGAATGATTATAAATTCTGAATGGTTATAAACACAGTACTGAATGATTATAAACACAGTACTAAATGATTATAAACTCAGTACTGAATGATTATAAATTCTGAATGATTATAAACTCAGTACTGAATGATTATAAACTCTGAATGATTATTAAGTCAGTACTGAATGATTATAAACTCTGAATGATTATAAACTCAGTACTGAATGATTATAAACTCAGTACTATATGATTATAAATTCTGAATGATTATAAACTCAGTACTGAATGATTATAAACTTTGAATGATTATTAAGTCAGTACTGAATGATTATAAACTCAGTACTGAATGATAATAAACCCTGAATGATTATTAAGTCAGTACTGAATGATTATAAACTCAGTACTGAATGATAATAAACCCTGAATGATTATTAAGTCAGTACTGAATGATTATAAACTTAGTACTGAATGATTATAAATTCTGAATGATTATAAACCCTGAATGATTATAAACTCAGTACTGAATGATTATAAACCCAGTACTGAATGATTATAAACTCTGAATGACTATAAATTCTGACTGATTATAAACCCAGTACTGAATGATTATAAACCCTGGATGATTATAAACTCTGGATGATTATAAACCCAGTACTGAATGATTATAAACACTGAATGATTGTAAACCCTGAATGATTATAAACCCAGTACTGAATGATTATAAACTCAGTACTGAATGATTATAAACCCAGTACTGAATGATTATAAACATTGAATGATTGTAAACCCTGAATGATTATAAACTCAGTACTGAATGATTATAAACCCAGTACTGAATGATTATAAACATTGAATGATTGTAAACCCTGAATGATTGTAAACTAAGTACTGAATGATTATAAACCCTGAATGATTATAAACTAAGTACAGAATGAATATAAACCCTGAATGATTATAAACTCAGTACAGAATGATTCTAAACTCTGAACGATTATAAACACTAATGATTATAAACTCAGTACTGAGTGATTATAAACTGTGAATGATTATAAACTCAGTACAGAATGATTATAAACTGTGAATGATTATAAACTCAGTACAGAATGATTATAAACTGTGAATGATTATAAACTCAGTACTGAGTGATTATAAATCTAGAACTGAGTGATGAACCACGGAGCTGATTGCGCATGCGCGCGGCTAAACCCGGAGCTGTCCGGGTGCTGAATCTGGCGCGCGGACGCGCCTGTCTGTCTTTGCACAGGCTGTCTCTGATGAAGCATCTCTCTCTCTCTCTCTCTCTCTCTCTCTCTCTCCCTCCCTCTCTCTCTCTCTCTTTCTCTCCCTCCCTCTCTCTCTCCCTCTCTCTCTCAGCTCTGGAGTCACTTCAGCTCCTCAAAGCGCTTCACTGAAACGCAGCGCGCTCTCGGACTATCACGTGCAGATTCGCTTTTTGGAAGAATTTTCTTTTCTAATTGTTTTTATTTCCAGCCAGTCAGTCCGTCTGAGGGTTCTCTGGAGCTGCTGTGTGGAACCTCTCCGCGCTGATGTGAGCCCGAGGTGGAGCTCTGTCTTGCGGGTTTAAGCTATGACGCTCAGGACCGGAGAGGATCTCGCGCCTTTGATTTTTCGCTCAAAGCCTCTCAGCTGCGCTTCGGTGCGAAGGAGAGCGAGCGGAGGGCGCGTGTGACACCTCCCCCCCTCCACTCCACTCCCCCTTAACGTCTCCGTATGGGAGTCCGTGGAGGCGCGCGGAAGCCCAGAAGCATCACAGTGATGACTCGCCCTTTCCTCAAACTCTTCACAACTTTATTCGCGTGCATGATCGAGATGGATCACCTCAGGTACGTGCCTTTCTTCTTCTCCCCTCGTGCCATTATCCGCTGCTGCGCGGCGCGCGAGCAAAACGCACTTTCAAGGTTACTGGAGAAGCTTGGCGGCGCGCGCTCTTAAAGTAATCGTGGAAATGACTCATCCGAGAAATAAAGAAACGCGTGAAACTTTCTCCAAAGCCAGCCTCAGATCCGCGAGCCGAATAAGTTCGGTGCGATGAAAGGCAGAACATACGAGGACTAAAATAGAACCATGATGTTCTAACTGCGTGGTGGTTGCATCCATTGAAATACATTCAGCATCCACCTGTGTTTTACGTCATATATACGTAGAACCACATACACACATTAAATCCCATTTATCACGGCATAAAACAAGAAGCTCGAGTGGGCGCACTCTCAAAAATAAAGGTGCTCAAAGGGTTCTCCGGAGTGATCCCCTAGTTGAGTCCCTAAAGAACCTTCCAATGCATGTTTTTCTCAATGCATGTCAAGAGAAACCACTCAGCAGAACCTCTGCATGATGTACATGTTCTAAAAGCCATTGGAATGGAACCTGAAGGTTCTCTAGATCTTTAAAACGTTCTTCAAACTGACAAATCTTTTTCAAACACAGTTCTCAAACCCCAGTGGACAGTGGATCATCTTGAGAAGCACTGCTCTGAAGAACCGTTATAAATCTGCATTTGTATAGAACATTAAGTGAAGGTTCTTTAAGCCATTTTTGTACATGGTTCTTTATGGCAGTGGTTCTCAAACTCCGGTGGACCATCTGGCCATCGCTGAGAACCTGTTTAAGAACCACTAATCTGAAGAACACTTATATATCTACATTTGTGTATAATATTACATAAAGGTTCTTTGAACCTTTTTGTACATGGTTCTGTATGGCAGTGGTTCTCAGACCCCAGTGGACCGTCAGGAGGTCCCTGAAGACCACTGCTCTAAAGAGTGCTTACACATATATATTGGTTTAGTTTCAAATATGGTTCTTTAGGGCAGTGTTTCTCAAACTGGTCCTCAATATCCCAATTAGACCATCTGGAGGTCGGTTAGCTTTGCTCTGAAGAACGCTTATATATATATAGTTGTATCGGCATATACCATTAGGTGAAGGTTCTTGAAACCTTTAAAAGGTTCTTCACACTCACAAATCACTTTAAAACAAGGTTCTTTAGGACAAACCGGTCTGCTATATCCCAATGGATCATCTCGGGATCCCTGAGGACCACTTTGAGAACCACTGCTCTGGAAAACTATTACACTTAAATGTGAAGGTTCTTTAAACCTTTGAAAGGTTCTTCACACTCACAATTTTTAAACATGTTTTTTTTGAGCAGTGGTTCTCAAACCAATCTCAGTATCCCCAGTGGACCATCTGGGGACCCCTGAGGACCGGTTTGAGAACCACTGCCCTGAAAAACTCTTAAATGTGAAGGCTCTTTAAACCTTTGAAAGGTTCTTCACACTCACATGTTTTTCAAACATGGTTCTTTTGGGAAATAGTTCTCAATATCCCCAGTATACCGTCTATGGTAAAAAAAAAAATATTTTTTTCCATGGCATCACTCCAAAGAACCTTTCTGGCACCAGACTGTGGTGCTCCAGCAGTAGATGGGTTTGAATCCCTGGTGGAGTGCTAGGTCTTTAAGTGGTGGTCTTTGGTTCCGAGGTGCCTGTTTTTTGAGTGAGACATTTATCTCCAACTTGCTCCTCTACTTGCATTTTTATCCCTTCTTTAGCCCCCACCCCCCAGAGTTAGAACCGCTCAGCCAACAGGAGCGTAATGCATAAAGACAGCAGGCAAATATTAGTGATCATATTCCATATTGTGGTCAGGCTGTCGCTGTTGTCATGGATGGTATTTAGAACCGGCAGGTTGTGATGACAGTAATAGCTGAGGGAATAAAAATAGGGGGCTTAGATGGCTTCAGTCCTGCCAAATTAGTTTTTGCTCATCAGAGAGAGAGAGAGCGAGAGAGATACAGAGAGAGAGAGAGCAGTCAGTTGTGTGTGGGCACTGACCAACGCGTGTGAGAAAATAGTCGCATTCTCACAGTCCAAGTCCGTGGGCGGCTGTGCATAAATAAACCCGTCATTAGGCCCAGTTTACTCTCGTTCTCGTGAGAACTGCACGTGTGTAATCAGAATGAATGCTGTCTTCCATTGTGCTTCCAGGATAATGCTAGCAAAGGAGCATGACCGGTCATCGTCGCGAGGCTCCTCTCTGACCATGTCCCCTTCGGATTTCCTGGACAAACTAATGGGCAAAACGTCAGGCTACGACGCAAGGATAAGACCCAACTTCAAAGGTATGGTGACTCATTGTGTTGTTGCTTTGGGCCTGAATGAGGCTGACGGGTTAATTGTTGCTTTTAAACGTGTCGCACGGCAGTGAGGACCTCATGTTTATTAATGGGTTTAACCCCTTGATGTTTGGCATTCAACTACCATAAATTATTCCGTTAATACTAATGAATAAGTCACGCAGTTCTCAGAGCAAGACTTTAAGGGGTTAATGTGTGATGTAAATGTTATGTTGTGACATAATATCTATCAAACTGTCATGATTAATGCCTGTTATTGTTTCTGTCAGATGTTGGGAGATCTTTGGATCTTCCTTACTCATTGTATCATTGCCACCCTGATTATACATTTAAAGCTGTTCAAGCCCTGGAGAGAGGAGAGAGTAACTGAAGGTAGAGAACCAGTTTTGTACATCTAGAACTCTCTGGTCCAACTGAAACTCAGACTCAGTTCCAGCTGACACAGAAAGTCAGGTCTCCTCCAAATCTGTCGACTGTATCCCATCTAAGAAAGAGACAATCTCAATTCCACCTTCATTGACCAGTACTCTGCCCTCGGTAACTGGTAACAGTCTTAATCCTACCCTCGATAACGGGTACCACTCTCAATTCCAGCCTTAGTAACCAGTACCACTCTTAATTCTTCATTAACCAGTATCAATCTAAATCCCACTCTCAATAACCAGCACCAATCTCAATCCCACTCTCAATAACCAATACCAATCTCAATACCACTCTCAATAACCAGTACCAATCTCAATCCCATTCTCAATCACCAGTACCAATCTCAATCCCACTCTCAATAACCAGTACCAATCTCAATCCCACTCTCAATAACTAGTACCAATCTCAATCCCACCCTCAGTTACCAGAACCATTCTCAATCCCACTTTTATTAACTGGTACCACTCTCAATTCCATCTTCTTTAACCAGTAACAATCTCAGTCCCACCCCCAGTAACAGTACCAATCTGAATCCCATCCCCAGTGACTCAATCTCACTTTCAATAACCAGTACCAGTTTCAACCCCACTTTCGGTAACTGGCACCATTCTCAATCACACCTTCATTACCAGTATCAATCTCAATCTGTTTTTCTTTAATTGGTACCAACCTCAATCCCACCTTCAGTAACCAGCGCCAATCCCAATCTCAATTTCAATAACGAATCCCAATCCTTCCTTCTTTAACCAATCTTAGCCCCACCCTCTTTGACCAATCCCAATTCTACCATCTTCAACCAGTCCCAAACCTGCCCTTAGTAACCAATCCCAATCCAACCCTCCTTTAAGTAAACCCAATAGCAGGAAGAAAGCAGGTCATACTGCTTGCAAAGAGAACCAGAGATCTTTGGATGTTTTCATTTTATTTTTTTAATGTTCATTTTAAGTTTTTAAAATGTTTATCTTTGGGATTTATACTTAAATAAAAGGTGCATCATAAGTAAAATGTATTATTTTTCTTTTTGAAAGACATGGGCTATTTTTAAAATCCTAATTTAAAGAGTGTTGCAGGAGGCAGGGAAAGATAAGAAAACATGGAATTCATTAAAGACCTGGATATAAATCTCTACCTGCCAGAAAGGACATCACACACACACACACACACACACACACACACACACACTGGGGTTCACATTGGCAGGCATGTCTTGTTTGGTAAACAGTTGGTCAGCTTTGGCCTCCAGCCTTGGTTCCTTTCACTTCTGGAAGCTTCCATTGCTCTGGTGCTCACACCTCCACCACACCTCCATTTTCACACCTCCACAACATGGCCACTTCTGCTCGCTTGTCACTTTTCACTGATCATGGACAAACTCCCACTCTTGTCCCAGCTATTCCCAGCTGGTTATCTTCCTGACCATCTGATGCCATTATCAGAACATGACATCCTGCTGGTTTATTCGGATGACGACATTTTTCTTCCAGACACTTACTGGTCTCACTCTAAACATCACTTTCACACTATAGGATATTTAGAAAAATCTTCATTGACTGTTATCAATTTCAACATTCATTTACCAGCACCAATCTCAATCCCACCCTCATTTACCAGCACCAATCCCAATACCATTCTCATTTACCAGCACCAATCTTAATCCCACCCTCATTTACCAGCACCAATCCTAATCCTAACCTCAATAACCAGCACCAGTCTCAATCCCACCCTCATTTACCAGCACCAATCTCAATCCCACCCTCATTTACCAGCACCAATCTCAATCCCACCCTCATTTACCAGCACCAATGTCAATCCCACCTTCAATAACCAGCACCAATCTTAATCCCACCCTCATTTACCAGCACCAATGTCAATCCCACCCTCATTTACCAGCACCAATCTCAATACCATTCTCATTTACCAGCACCAATCTCAATCCCACCTTCAATAACCAGCACCAGTCTCAATCCCACCCTCATTTACCAGCACCAATCTTAATCCCACCCTCATTTACCAGCACCAATGTCAATCCCACCCTCATTTACCAGCACCAATCTTAATCCCACCCTCATTTACCAGCACCAATGTCAATCCCACCCTCATTTACCAGCACCAATCTTAATCCTAACCTCAATAACCAGCACCAATCTTAATCCCACCCTCAATAACCAGCACCAGTCTCAATCCCACCCTCAATAACCAGCACCAATCTCAATCCCACTCTTCATAAAAAGCAGCAATTTCAATCCCACCCTCATTTACCAGCAGCAATCTCAATCCCACCCTCAATAACCAGCACCAGTCTCAATCCCACCCTCAATAACCAGCACCAATCTCAATCCCACTCTTCATAAAAAGCAGCAATTTCAATCCCACCCTCAATAACCAGCACCAGTCTCAATCCCACCTTCATAAAAAGCAGCAATTTCAATCCCACCCTCAATAACCAGCACCAATCTCAATCCCACTCTTAATAAATAGCAGCAATTGCAATCTTAATCTCAATAACCAGCACTAATCTCAACCCCACCCTCTATCACTGGTACCAAAATGCCCTCACTCGCACAATTTACAGCACCTAACACCCTCTGAAGTGTCTGATCATAATGCATGACCTAGTTTTGTTTACCAAGCTGTTTTCTTTCACCACAGTCTGTACTGACGTTGCCTGTACACACGCTGAGGCAAATATTAATACAGAGTGGAATGTAATATTAATAAAGCTGCTGCAGAAGGAGAGCACGACTAGAGTTCACTTCACACACTGCTGCCAATGCTGTTCTCAATATAAAAGCAGAGAACCGCTTTCTGTCACGTCAAACCACAGCCAGAGGAGCAGATGAAAGGCCTGCAGTTTCGTTCAGAAGCTGCACGAGTAACATTGCAGTATTGTTGCACGTATCGTCCCTCATCTTCTACCCATTTCTATCTGCTCAATATCAATTAAGCAGGCTGCTTTTCACCAGTCTATCCCAATTCCACTGGGAGCAAAGTGAGTGTTATCACGTTTGTATGCCTCTGCATGAAATTCTAGCACTGATTATCACATTATTCTTTACATAAAGTCAGACAGTATGGTTTAAGAGCAGATCTCTCTTGGACTGATGAGTTTGGCGATGACAGAGTTTTCTCATTTCTCGCTGCAGACATGATACCATCATCAATCTGCCAAGCCCAGCAGCTTTTAGATTGATCATTAATAATCAGAGGATGGACTGTAACCTTCATTTCTTTGTGTGAAACAGATTTGATTGATATACTCAAATTGTAAAGTGTAGAAGGAAAGGTCAGTTAGGTTATCTAGAGTGCATTTTGAATGGACAGTTTCCAGGATGCTGGATTAGTGAGAATATTAGAGGTTCATTTGGTAAGAACTGATTGGTGATTGGTTCTTAAAGGGTCCCAGATAGAATTGATCGATTGACCTTTTAAAAACTCAAACTAATCGCAGCACAAGTGTGACAACTAAGAACAAATAATTCTGGAAGGTGTCAAATGAACGATGATGGTGGCGGTGTTTCAAAACTGATTCAAACCCAAAACCTGTACAAACCACATAGCATACCAAAGAAATCAGAGTACATGTTTTCTAATGTCCCTGGAATTCCACTGATCCGTCAAAATTCAAGTGAAATGTAAAACGCTCCATTCTAGAGAAACTTTAGAATAGTTCACAGTGGTGCTGATAGGAACCAGACGTCCACCTCTAAAAGCTCCCTCACAGAAAGTTACTACATGAAGTGGTTTTGAGAAGGTTTATCCTATCCTGGTGGAGGTATACATGCAGAGTGTTATGAGGTAAAATAGTCCCCAAAGAAAACTTTTCCTAAAAAGTTTTCAGATTTTCCACTATTTTCCATCATCAACATTCCATATAAACTCAGAAGACTCGTGTAGGTTCACTGATGGTTTTGGATAGTAAATAAAAAAGTGTTATAAACATTGCAACCCTAAAGAAATTAGGGTAACACTTTCTATGAATGTCACGTTTGTAAGCATCCATAAACACACTTATAACATGTTATAATGCCGTATAATTTATAAACATGATTATAAACATTTATAAAAATGAACTACACTGGATTACACTTTATAGCCATGTTTATTATACATTATGAATTGTTAATATAATGCATTATAAGTAGTGTTGATAACATGTTATACTCTCAGGGCCAAAGAAGTCAGTCCCAGCTTGGAGAGCGTAAAGTAAAGACAAATACCAAGCTAACGGTGGTGAACATTACCTTTCCCACATTGGGTAAAACACTGATGCAGCTCTAGTTTAAACTCTGACATTTGAAGCCTGTAATGTGCTTTACTGTGAATGTTTTAGTGTTTCAGTAAATCCTTCTGTAAATACTTCAACTTGAAGCCTCACTCTGAACACTGGAGGAGGCTTTAGTACAGTACGCTTCACTTTACTTAGAGCGGACAAATACCACTTATGAGCTCTTATAATTTGTTATGATCAGTACTTATAATGTATTATGTTAACAATTCATAATGTATAATAAGCATGGCTATAACATGTAATGCATTTTAATAAATATGTATAGCCATGTTTATAATGCCTTATGAATGCATTATAACATGTTATGAATGTGTTTGTAGATGCTTACAAAGGTGCCATTCATAGAAAGTGTTACCGAGATTAGTTTAGTGACTAGAAAGGGATGAACTTTAAGTTGGCTTGAGAAACACAGCTAATAACATTAAAATGTTAAAACAGTTAAGACTGTTGGTGGTTGCCAAACTGTTGCTAAGAGGTTGCTATTGTATTCCAGATGGTTGCTTAGGTGTTGCAAGGCGGTTGCTGGAGTTTCCCAGGTGATTGCCAAGGTGTTGCTAAGCCAGTGCTATGGTATCCCAGGTAGTTGCTAAGGTGTTGCTAGGTGGTTGCTATGGTATCCCAGGTGATTGCTAAGCTGTTGCTAGGCATTTGCTATGCAGTGCTGATGATATCCCTGAGGTTGCTAAGGTGTTGCTAGGTGGATGGCTAGGGTATATAGCCAGAGTCCAGTAACTTTTGCCTACAGACTGTATTCTGACTGTGGTGGATTAAGAGATGCAGGTATAAGATATAAGGCGTTTGTAGTATATAAGGAGAATGATAGATTTTCATTAAGGTGAATGGTCCTCCTTTCATTTCCTTGGGGAAAGAATCACATTTGAACAAAGATAGTATGAAAATCTTAAGTTGGATCTGTTCAAAAAGCACAAGCACACTATTTGGATATAGGTTCTATGTTCCTGCCAATTTTCGTGGTTCTACACCAAAAACTGTATACTCTAAAAAACAACAGTTCTTCAAGGGTTCTTTACTAAACAAACTCAAAGAACTCTTTGTATTGTTAAAGGGTCCTTTGTATAGTAAAAGTGTTCTTCAGATTGATGAAGAATGTGCTGTAGATGGTTCTATATAGCACCAAAAAGGGTTCTTCTATTATTACAAGTTTGACACTGAAACAATAGAAGAATGCTTTTGGGTGCTACATAGAACCCTTTTCAAAAAGGTTCTATATAGCACCATCTACAGCACATTCTCCATCAATCTGAAGAACACTTTCACTATGCAAAGAATCCTTTAATCATGCAAAGGGTTCTTTAAGTGTTAATGGTTCTATATAGAACCATTTTCTTTACTAAAGAACCATCTTTTTAAGAGCAAAGGATGAGAAACTGTTTACATTTTGAGCACGGAATAATAATGAGAAGAATAAAAAGATTAAGAAGTTTCTCAAGCCAACCTAATAAGCTGAAGTGGGTGCACTTATCTACTTTGTTTAGGTCTCAACAACTAAATTTGAAAAATGTTTTAAAATTGGTGGAATTCCTCAATACTGTGCAAAAGTCAGAGACCACCTTTCATTTGTTTAATTTCCAGTCAAAACAACCATTAAGTACAAGTTATTCATTTTTCAGCATCAGGAATAAAAGCAGAAAACTGAATGTAATCTGACGTTTTCAGTAGTTATTGTGTCCATGTTTGCCTTTATTACAGCTTCCATTTTCTTCAGGAGACCTGCTTTCAGTTTCTTCAGACGTCTGCAGAGATTTTTCCTTAACTCCAAAGTTCAGTCTTAGAAGTTGGTTTTGCATTTTTAGCTTCTCACCATCCAAGTGAACACTTTCAGTGGTGTTAAGGTCTGGACTCTAGGGTGGTCAGTCCATTGTTCTGTGAACACAAGCAGCTGGTACGGAGCCGTTACATTATGTAAACTCACAAATCTCTTTTTCAAACATGGTTCTTCAGGGGTTCCTCAGAGAACCCTCTGTGGTGCCTTTTATTTTAGAAGCCAGTTCATTACAGAATTACAGACACCTAAGACTGTTGGTGGTTGCTACAGTGTTGCAACACTGGATGCTATGGTATTCCAGATGGTTGCTTTGGTGTTGCTAGGCGGTTTGCTATGGTTTCCCAGGTGATTGCCAAGGTGTTGCTAAGAGGTTGCTATGGCATCCCAGATGGTTGCTTAAGTGTTGCTAAGTGGTTGCTAGGGTTTCCTAGGAGATTGCCAAGGTGTTGCTAAGCAGATGCTATGGTATTCCAGGTAGTTGCTAAGGTGTTGCTAGGTGGTTGTTATGGTATCCCAGATGGTTGCTTAAGTGTTGCTAGGCGGATGCTATGATTTTCCAGGTGATTGCCAAGGTTATGCTAAGCAGATGCTATGGTATCCCAGGTAGTTGCTAAGGAGTTGCTAGGCGGATGCTATGGTATTCCAGATGGTTGCTTTGGTGTTGCTAGGTGGTTGCTATGGTTTCCCAGGTGATTGCCAAGGTATTGCTAAGAGGTTGCTATGTCATCCCAGATGGTTGCTTAGGTCTTGCTAGGTGCTTGCTACGATATCCGAGATGGTTGCTTAAGTGTTGCTAGGCAGTTGCTATGGTATCCCAGGTGATTGCTAAGGTGTTGCTAAGCAGATGCTATGGTATCTCAGGTTGTTGCTAAGGTGTTGCTAGGCAGTTGCTGTGGTATCCTAGGTGGTTGCTAAGGTGTTGCTAGGTGGTTGCTAGAGTTTCCCAGGTGATTGCCAAGGTGTTGCTAAACAGATGCTATGCTATCCAAGATGGTTGCTTAGGTGTTGCTAGGTGGTTGCTATGGTTTCCCAAGTGGTTCCTAAGGTGTTGCTATGCAGTTGCTATGGTTTCCTAGGTGGTTGCTCAGGTGTTGCTAAGCAGTTGCTATGCTATTCCAAGTGGTTGCTAAGGTGTTGCTAGGTGGTTGCTATGGTATTCCAGGTGGTTACAAAGTTCAGTCTTAGAAGTTGGTTTTGCATTTTCAGCATCTCACCATCCAAGTAATCCCAAACGCTTTCAGTGGTGTTAAGGTCTGGACTCTGGGGTGGTCAGTCCATTGTTCTGAGAACACAAGCAGCTGGTATAGAGCCGTTACATTATGCAAACTCACAAATCTCAATGGTTCTTCAGGGGTTCCTCAGAGAACCCTGTGTGGCACCTTTTATTTTAGAAGCCAGTTCATTACAGAATTCCAGAAACTAAAAGGTTCCTCTGTAGGGTCCTGCAGCAGAATCCTGGTTCTGGTTCTAGCTGGGGTTTTACTTGCCTTGCAGAAGAGTGTTCTGTCTTTCTTTACCTCCATATCACTTCTCCATTCCATTTTCACAGGTCCGCCTGTAAACGTCACCTGCAATATTTTTATCAACAGCTTCGGCTCCGTGACCGAGACCACCATGGTAAGCCTGTCGTTATGTTTCCTTTCCTGTGACTCACTAAAAGAGATGTCAATGTGTGGTTTATCGCCCCCTACCTGCAGGTCCCCCTGTAAACGTCACCTGCAACATATTTATCAACAGCTTTGGTTCTATAGCTGAAACTACTATGGTGAGTTAGGCATCACAGCTAGCCCCTAACCCCCCACCCCCCCCGACCATCTCAGACCCTGCGCCATCTGCTAACTTGCTGCTGACATCTGCTACTACAAACTTTCTTTGTAAACTTTTTTTCCCAAAATTGTTTTGCGTGTTTGCTTTCCACATTTTCATACAACATGACTAAGCTTGCACTGGTCTATTGGCGGAGCCTTAAGGGAACATGTTCACCAGCCGCCTCAGATCAAACGGCTATCGCTAAGCACTCAGGGCGATATTTGATTGTTGTCTCCTTACGCTACATGCACATTCGCTGGATTATTTTCGTGTTAATAATTCACACAGCGGCTGGCAGCAAATGATTCACTTTAATTGCCAGAAGAACCTTTGGGGCCTCGCGTCTTAGGGCCTGCGATTCGAGCGGATTGATTAGCGTAATGCCCCGAAATGGTCCGACCGCTCCGGGGGTAAACAGTTACCGACCCAGAGCGCCGCGCCGTTCCGCTCTTCAAAGGCGCGCTATTACAACCACGTTATCAGTTCGATCCAAATACATCTCCAGTGAACAGTCAGACCAAATGAGCCTGAATCAAATCATAATTATGTTTACAGACGTCTGCGGGTGATGCACGTCGAGGATTCCTGCGCTCAGAGGGCCGCCAATAAACTTTCAGACCAAGAATGGAAACTGTTTATGAAAACTCCCTTTAACGAAGCGCCTGCATGTCTAAATACTAACAGCATTCTTTCAGGACTAATTAATCTGCAGATGATAACAAAGCTCCTAATTTGGAGATTAGCTTTCAGTAATGTCATCACTAATTGCTTCTGCTAATGGTTTTTTATCATTTTTAACTGTTTTCAAATAAAAGACCTCATGCAATCATGTCAGTGATAGTGGTATCTGTATTAACATTTGGCTAAAGGGCTGTAAATGAAAGAGCTTAAATGAACGAACATTTGAAAAAGATGGTTCTTCAGGGTTCTTTAGTGGTTTTATATAGAAACACTCAACGAACCATTTGCATGCTTAAATGGCTCTTTACATTCTTCAGATCGATGGAAAATGTGTTGTATATGGTTCTATGTAGAACCTATTTTGAAAAGGCTTCTATATGGCACCAAAAAGGGTTCTTCAATTGTTACAAGCTTGATGCTGTAACACTAGAAAAACAATTTTTGGTGTTTCTCAAAAATTTTATAACTGTACCTGGTGCTGTAGAGAACCATTTCAAAGGGTTCTTTGAGTGTTCATGGTTCAACAAAGATCCATTTTCTTTACTAAAGAACCTTTGAAGAACTGTTTTTGTACTATCATTAATATCTTACAATACTAAAAAGATGGTTCTTCAGGGGTTCTTTAGTAAAGAAATGAGCCATGAACACTCAAAGAACCATTTGCATGCTTAAATGGTTCTTTGCATGGAGAAATGGTTCTTCAGATTGATGGAGAACGTATTGTATATAGTTCTATATCTTTGAAAAAGGTTCTATATAGCACCAACAGGGTTCCTCTTTAGTTAAAAGCTTGACATCATAACAGTAGAAGAAAAACTCTTAGAACCATACCTGGTGCTGTAGAGAACCATTTGATCATGCAAAGAGTTCTTTGAGTGTTCATGGTTCAAAATAGAACCATTTTCTTTACTAAAAAAGCCTTTAAAGAACTGTTTTTGTTAAAGTGTTCTGTCATTAATGTCTTACAACACACTTAAAAAAGATGGTTCTTCAATAGTTCTTTAGTATAGAAATTGTTCTACATAGAACCACAAACACTCAAATCACCCTTTACATGATTAAAGGGTTCTTTGCATCATGAAAGGGTTCTTTAGATTGATGGAAATATGTTACATATGGATCTATATAGAATCTGTTTGACAGAGGTTCTATATAGCACCAAAAAGGGTTCTTCTATTGTTATGATGTCAAGCCTGTAACAATAGAAGAACCCTTTTCAAAAAGGTTCTATTTGGAACCATCTACAGCACATTCTTCATCAATCTGAGTAACCTAACCCTTTCATGATGCAAAGAACCCTTTAATCATGTAAAGCGTTCTTTTGAATGTTCATGGTTCTATATAGAGCCATTTACTTTACTAAAGAACCCTTGAAGAACCAGCTTTTTTAAGGGTGAAGCATGCATGTGCTAAAGGTAGAATCCAGGAATCCAGTGTTTTTCAGCATATACTTGGTCAGGCCTTAAACCCTTAAATGGGCAGGACTTTTATTATGCTTCTATGTACATATTTATACAGCTTCACAATAAAATCACTGTTTTCATGTAATTAATGAAAAACAAGCCTCAGGATGTTTTAAGTCTGGGATTTCAATGTTAAAGTAAGATATGGACGACAGAGTCGCTGCCATTTGCTTCCATGTGGCTCTTCATCCAGTGTTGGAACCAAACTGCTCTTGTAGAACCGCGAGCACAACAACAGTTCAACAAAATCACACCCTCGGGTTACTGTATGAACGAGACTTTTAACACTTTTAATCACTGAAACTGCATCATGAATATGTATCGTGTGGTTAGTGTTCAGGCCGTGCTAGCTTCAGTTCCCTTCCTCCGCCTGAGGAACCCACACGTTTCAAATGACTGGAGCTGTTAATAAGTCTCGGGTCGGTTATGCGATTACATGCGCTCTGTTCTTTAAACAGCACGACTGCTGGATCAGTGACATATTAGAGGATCTAAAGACAATTCTGCTCCCGTTCTATGACCGTGGAAGCCTATGAGAGGTCATTCTGCACCATATCTTACTTTAGAAACACGACTTTCACAAGAAAAGCCCACCAAGACTTTGTAACCCCTTCAGCTGGAGGCTCATTATTCACTTACTAACCCTACAGCTTACTGTTCAGAGTCGTACAGAAGCCCATTCCTGCCGGCTTTTTCTCTTTCTCTGTTCAAGGAAGCAGGAAGTCAAAATGTTTCAAAATAACCATTCTTTTTAAAAACATTGACTTTCTCAGTGTCGACTTTCTCAAAATTTAGACTTGTGATCCCAAAATAATTATGTATTTTCTCAGTTTTGACTGAGAATCTCAAAATAGTGCCTTATTATTTCTAAATAGTGACTTATTTCCCAGTTTTGACTTAGTATCTCAAAATTATGAGTTATTATTTCAAAATAATTACTTATTTTCTCAGTTTTGACTGGGTATCTCAAAATAATGACATCATTTCTAAGTAATGGCTTATTTTCTAGTTTTGATTTTGAATCTCACAATATTGACTCATCTCAAAACAATGACTCAAAATTTTTACTTATGTCAAAATAATGACTTATTTTCTAGAGATTTGAGTTATGACAGAGAAAATGTCAAGATATTATGTCAAAATAATGAGTTCTTTTCTTAAGATTTGATTTATTTCAGACAAAACGCCAACTTCATGTCAAAATAATTAAATTAAATTTCAGTGAAATTGATGAATTTTCAATTAAATTAAATGTCAAGAAATTAAGTCAAAATTTTGAGAAAAAAGTGAATATTTCAAGGTAAAAAAGTCAAAAACTGTGGGAAAATAAGTTATTGTGACTAAGGAGCTCAAGGTACTAGGTCAAAAAAAGTTACTTTGTCAAAGTGATTATTTAAATTATTTATTCATTATTTAAAGAGGCAAAATGTTGACAAACTGCTTCCAGAAATAGAGATGGATTAAAAAAAAACACTGGCCTAATAGTTATTATGAAACTGAGGTACGTTCTGTTGTTTTGAGAGTGAGGAACTGGACCCACATACAGAACCTTAAAGTTTAAGGGGTTAAACTGCAAATGAATGTTTTCGGAGGACATTTAAGGACGTGTTGGATTCCATTCCAGGCACATCAAGTAATCTGCTCTGACTAATTACAGCCTTGCGGTGATGATGACAAAGACAAATTAAGCTCTTGCAAAATTGAATAACAATTTTTTTTTGTTTGTTGGGTTTTCCAGAACCTAATGAACTGTAATCACGTGTTAGACGGCTCAGTTAAGTAACATTCTGGGCTTCATAGGAAACTTTACACCTTTAAATGTACCTGTTTTGGGTGAGAAGACTTGGATTACGTGTTTGCAGACTTTAAAACATGATTTGTTGTTTGCCTGGATTAAAGTAGCACTGCTAAATTGAGCAAGCAGTCGGCAACCATTTCAAAAAGAGCGAACTCAGTAAACAGGTTTTATGAATGATAACCAGCTCTGGGAATATAATCAGTTTAACTTTCCATTAAAGCTAATTTTCCATCCCTTATTCAAATGCTAGTTTCTAATAAATTGGCCAGTGAATGGAAGAACATTTTATTTTAGACCAAATGGATCCAAAAAAGAGAAGAAGAGGACTTTATAAGCTTCTTATTCCAATTTTCCCAAAGCTTTGACTTATTATCTCAAACCTTTGACTTTGATTATCTCAGGTGCCAGAATGTAACAGCTGCACCTTTTAAGATGGGATGGAAAATTCAAATAAGAAGCCAATCAGCCTCGTAGTTCCTATCCTGAGGGATGCTGGATGTTCTAAGATGTTCCACTGTGGTTCTACAAGTTACTCAGTACTTAAGTAGCTTTAGTGCTGCTTCTTTTCTCTCTGTTCATACGTTAATCCTCACTGCACGGATCCTGCAGGACTACAGAGTGAACATCTTCCTGAGGCAGAAGTGGAACGACCCCCGGCTCGCCTACAGCGAATACCCAGACCCTTCGCTCGACCTGGACCCATCCATGCTGGACTCCATCTGGAAGCCTGACCTGTTCTTTGCCAACGAGAAAGGCGCCAACTTCCACGACGTCACCACAGATAACAAGCTCCTGAGGATCTCCAAGGATGGAACGGTTCTCTACAGCATCAGGTACGGTTATATAGTTTTTCAGATATGGGGATTAAACAGTGGATCATGTGATTAAATTGTTAGAATTTCAGAAACAAAAATAACAAAGATGTTCTCGTCTAAGCAAAACCAGTTATTGAAGACAGAAGCCAATAGGGTGACATTCAGATCCTATTGACAGTCAAAGAAACCCCTGTAAACAAGCCTGTAGACCAATAAACCAATGACCTTTAGACTGACTGCGAGCAAGCCCTCAATCCACATACACAGCAGTGCTAGCATTACTGTTAGCCAGTGGGTAACCGGTGGTATTTAGGCAGATACAGCCAAGCGAGCTCTCTCATTGGTTAGAACTTCGGGAGCTGGACTGAAGGCCTTACAAGTTAGATTAACTACCAACACAATTAAGAAGTGACAGAGGAATCAACCAATGGGACCAATTTAGTGAGTAAAACCATCAATCTACACCTTCTGGAAGTTCTAGATAAGTCACTGACTGTAAACATGAGCCGTAGGCTAACCAGGTTCCAGTCAGTTGTTAGGAGTGGAAAGCAGCGCTGGCAGCTCTATACCAGAACTCTGTACTGAGTCACTGTAAAGCTGATAAATACAAGCTCAAATTCATGTTCATGTCTGTTACAAGCTTCAAATAAAACATATGGAATGTTTTTCACAGCCTACAAATGTCTGTATTTAATCTAGAACCGATAACAAGTTTATGTGAATCACCATTAGATTAGTGTTAACATACTACCAGAGTCCCATAAGGGCGCCAGCAGAAACTGGCAATATCATTTTTCCATTTTTTCACCATTTAACATTTATGGCCCAGACTGAAGGCCTAGCTCTCACAGTTACGGTTTCGCTACTGCTGTTAGCATTAATTTTGTTTTATTTGACACTTACGGCAAAAAAAAATGGTTTAACTCACTAAGTAAAATTAATACTGAGTGTAGTTTTAGCGTCAGATGTTGTACAGAGTGTCTAGAATTAATGACACATTAAAATAGACATTCCTGCCTAAAACTAGCATTTATTTCTCATGTTTTGTAATATTCTGTAGTGCAACATAGCATCCCTCAGCCTCACCGGTCTGACAGAATTCACAATTGTGTTTCATCCATCAGGGTTTTGTCACTACAATACCCAGCATGCATTGCACAAAGAAATCCAATGATGTAGAGACTAACAAATACAGATACATCATTAGAAGTTCTGTCTTTAAATCAGACAGTTTTACTCTAGAGATATTACAGCACCACTGTAGGACAAGAGTAGGCATGTTTACAACAGATGTAGTGATTGTTACATTTTTTACTTACCTCCCTTTAAGCTCCGCACAACTACCAGGATTCTGTTAGCTTCCACTATCCACACCTCTGGATGCTTCTGTACGTCAGCTTTTATCAGTCTGACAGGAAAATGTTGCAAACAGCTGCCCGCTCTAAATGCTGTGACCAGTATTTTGGAACAAGACATAGTTATTAGATCACATGTTTAAAGGTTAGCTATGACAAAATTAGTAGCTAATAAGTGAAACAGCCCCACCCCACTTTGTTTCCAGAGGGTGTGTTTTTGTTGTAGCACAGTTTTAATGAAAGTCGGAAGTTGGAGCTCAGAATTTTCAACCTGTGTGTTTAAGCTACAAAGTGGGAAAGCAAGTATCATTAGCAACACGCTAGCCAGCTAATGTTAGTGATATGAGCGACAACATTAATATTCATTATGTATTCACCTTCTCAAAACAGTGAACTTTATAATCAGCGTTATAGTTTAACCAACTGCTGTGTCTGTAGGTTGAACTGATCTAAAGCTAATCTCATTGTAGTTTCAAGTTTCAAGTTTATTGGTCATTTGCACAACATGTCAGGACATTTATTAAATTTAGAGGTTGGTAGAGTGTAGTGAGTAACACCTCTGCCTTCTACGCTGTAGGCTGCGGTTCAATCCCAGGCTGGGTAAGCACCCTACACTATACCAATAAGAGTCTTTGGGCAAGACTCCCAACACTAGCTTCGCCTACCTGTGTAAGATCATCAAATTGGATTAGAGCGTCTGCCAAATGCCTTAAATGTGAATGTGAATTATGCATTGAAATGCTTGTGGTGAGGCTCATTAGTCACTCTACAGAAAGTAAACAAGTAACAGTAAAAGTACTAAAACAGAAATATATTAAATATACACAAAATACACAAAAACCCCTCTCTGCTATGTACAAATCTATTTATATTAAACAAGAGATAATCTGTGAAGAATATAGACATTTTAAAGTGACTTAAGTGACTCAGTGTTATTGTTATAAAGTGACTTGTAGAACAGAGCAGTGGTTGAGGACACCATCCCAACTTTCCAAATAGGAATTCCCAGATGAGAATTTTATTTATTTATTTATGTATTTATTTATTTATGCTTGGTCAGAGCTGGGAAATTCTGAGTTCAGTCAAACTCATAAATAAATGGTTCGCCCCTGGACATCAACAGTCTGCGGCTGGTTATATTGCATGTCAGTCAAACGGCCTTTTCCTGTCAAAGTGGGCGGATTTTCACCATGTTAAGCATCAAAACAACCCAGAATCCAGAAGTCTACCTCGCAATACAAATATAAGTCTGACTAAGAACACTTGTCTCAGTTTTCTTTGGTTTTCCTCCATTTTTATTTTGTGGAAATCATGAGCGACTTAGAGAAAAGAGCTGTGCCGAGCTAATTTGCATCCTCCTTGCTAGGCTAAGACGCAGCAGGCTGCAAACATGAAAAGAAGAAACCTGCTAAAGACATATTACCAATTAATGCTGACTTGACCGTCCCTCTGCTTTGAAGAATGGGACAATATAAATGGATCCAAGCAAATGAGATGAAATCTCATCGACTCTAGATGCAGTTAGCGCCTGTAGAGACAGCGAGCCTCGTCAAGCATCCGTAAGCAATTATTCCAGGTGACTCCGACATTAGAAGTGTGTTTGAAGTGCACTTGTAGGGGGGCTGATTCTGCACAAAGCGCTCTATCAGACACAGTAGTGGCTCCTGTAGCTTTCAAGAGAAGATTGATGCAGATGCCTCAGATTGGGGTATTAAAGGAATAGTTTGGCAAAAAAATCATCCACACAGTTTTCCCCTTTTATCCCAAATGCACATCCGAAGTTTCTGAACAAAAGTACATTAGCATAGCCAAAAACAGTAGTAGCAGCCATCTTGAAGCTGCAGCTTAGTCCGTATTTATAGATAACAGCGTGACATGCAGTGTCAGAAACCACATAATCAAGTCTATTAGAGATTAACATTTCCGCATAGTTTGACGCAAGTGATGATTTAGGCGTGATGCTAATTACTGGGGTATAAGCTTCCATTACTTGTTAGCTGCATTAGCCTCGTAGTTGCAGTGCTAAAAATAAAGAAGCGTATTTTAAGGCCCTAAACATGTCTTGGCTGTTTAGTGTCTTTGGATATAGGAGACTGTTCCAAGTGAATTTTCACAAACAATGCTTACATGTTTGCTAAATAAAGGCCGTTTTTCATTATTTAGGCCATTTAATTGAAACATGTCATCTGAGGTACTTATTTCAGCATCCATAAACAGCAGAAACAGGCACTCATGTTTCGTTTCATTCTTGAAATCCAGTGACGCAACACTGTGCTCTTTCTCTGACGCTCAAAAGACTCGTGATCCTAAAAGCATCAGAATCAGTTCATACAGGAGTTAGAAGGATCGGCACACAGGTGTGTTTGAGGGCTGCTGTATCTGAGAGACAATGAGAGCGTTGAGAAAGGACAGGCTTTGGAGAAATACCTGCACAATAACCAGCACAGAATGGAAGAGTGATCTGAAGTCAGTAACACTGGCAGCACAGACAGTGGAGTAGATTTAAAAACATCTTAAAACAAAGAACAGTCTTGGGCCCAGTCCCATTTCTTATTTTTACCCCTACCCCTTGTTTTCGAGAGTCACTCTAACCCCTTGGAACAGTTACAGGGTAGTGGTTGAAGTCTTCCCTCTAAAATGGGACCCTAAATAAAAAGAGCATCACTTCATTAACAGCTACCAGCGCTGCTCTGTAGGCGACCCTGCCAGTCTGCAGTGACAGCAGAGGAGGGTAAAGTTCAGCTCCTCACTGCTGGGCTTTAGTTACATTTAGGGCATCATATGATCTTCAAAGAGGGGGCAATTATTTATTATCACCCACCACTAATTCTTCAGTGATATGAAGCTGAAGTCAGATATTCACCAGATTCTTGTTCGAATTTTCCTGTTCCACCTTAAATGGAGCAGCAGTTACATTCTGGCGCTTCAGGCATCAGAACTGCTGGACAATTTAAGGTGGAACGGGAAAGTTAGCTAGCTAGCTACAGAGACATTAGCATGCTATTAGCAATTTTTTTATGCATGTTATGAAGAAAACAACCATAATACACTGAAACTACATTAAACTATGATAAAACAATGGTTATTGTAATTTTTTATCAGAGAAAATTCTCACATTTGTCGGGTTTCTTTGGTCTCTTGTTCTCCATCTTGCCGGTTTTTCTTTTTTTCTCATAACTCTCTGTTTGGAGTTTCTGAAAAACCTCCGTTTGGAGGGTCATGTAGCCCCAACACTTCACCCTCCTCCTCTATCTCAACAAGAATTGGGACACCCTAACCTTAGACGTGAACGCGCAAAACAGAGGGCTAAGGGCTGAGTGGTAGGGGCGAGGGGTGAAATGGGACTGGGCCTTGGGTTGCTTTCTCAGTATGCTTCGGGTCAAAGTCAATCTGCATTGTGAAGTGCCATCCAATGATTTTTGAAGCACTTGGCTGAATCTGAGATAATGAAGACTTGTGCACTTCAGAATTCATCCTGCTGTTTTTGTCAGCAGCCACATCATCAGTGAATACAGTTCTATCTGCAGCCATACATGCCCATGCCATAGCACTACCTCCACCATGCTTCACCGATAAGGTGGTATACTTTAGATCATGAGCAGCTGCTTCCTTTCTCCATACTCTTCCCATCATTCTGGTACAAGTTGATCTTTGTGGCATTTGTCCAAAAGATGCTGTCCCAGAACTGTACAGAGTTTATATGTTTATCTTATTTTTTACTTTTAGTATTATATATTGTTTATATATTAACAAGTAAGAAACTGTTAAAACCTTGTTAAGTACTTAACAAAGTTAATTACTTACCTGTTAATTCTCTTCTTGTTACTTCTTTTCTTTTTCTTGAGTGCCTTGCTCACCTTTTGCTGCTGTAACACTGAGAATTTCCCCGTTGTGGGACTAAGAAATGATTATCTTTTTTCCCCAATCTCTAATCTGGTTTATCTGTTTTTGAGGCTTACCAAAGGTTTACATCTTGCAGTAAAGCCTCTGGTGAAGTCTTCTCTTGATTATTGACTTTGACACAGTGAAGGAGTTCCAATAACAATAATAACAATGAATAACAATAATTTTGTCACTGTCCAAACATTTTTTGGACCTGACGGTATTACATCCACAACCCTGAAAATGAAATGCTTACTGGTCATTTTCTGCAGGCTGACCTTAATCCTGTCCTGTCCAATGGATCTGAAGAACTTCCCGATGGACGTTCAGACCTGTACTATGCAGCTGGAGAGTTGTAAGTAATCACCTTTAATCTTGTCTTCTAACTGTGAGATCCTCACTCAGCACTAACGGGCTGATAACCGCCTGCTGAGTGATGAGGTTTAATGTTTGTGTGAACAGATCCTCTCAGATATTTGTGTAATGAAGCTCTTTCATGACATTTTGCTGAACTGAATCTTTTCCTTTGAGCTTGATCAGAAGTGCAGTGCAGTTCATAAGGCTCGCGTAACGGCCCCGAGGAATGTAATAACGATGTGTTTCTTCGCTCTGCAGTCGGCTACACCATGAACGACCTGATTTTCGAGTGGCTGGACGAGGGGCCTGTGCAGGTAGCGGAGGGCCTGACCCTTCCTCAGTTCATCATGAGGGAGGAGAAGGAGCTGGGCTACTGCACCAAACACTACAACACAGGTCTCAACACAATGCTGCTAACCACCAAACACTACCGCACAAGTTAGAACACAATGCTGCTAACCACCAAACACCACCACACAAGTTAGAACACAATGCTGCTAACCACCAAACACTACCACACGAGTTAGAACACAATGCTGCTAACCACCAAACACTACCGCACAAGTTAGAACACAATGCTGCTAACCACCAAACACTACCACACAAGTTAGAACACAATGCTGCTAACCACAAACACCATACCAAGAAACAAGCTGTACCAAAACACACAACAATGCTGCTAACCACCAAACACTACCACACAAGTTAGAACACAATGCTGCTAACCACCAAACACTACCACACAAGTTAGAACACAATGCTGCTAACCACCAAACACTACAACACAAGTTAGAACACAATGCTGCTAACCACCAAACACTACCACACAAGTTAGAACACAATGCTGCTAACCACCAAACACTACCGCACAAGTTAGAACACAATGCTGCTAACCACCAAACACTACCACACAATGCTGCTAACCACCAAACACTACCACACAAGTTAGAACACAATGCTGCTAACCACCAAACACTACAGCATGAGTTAGAACACAATGCTGCTAACCACCAAACACTACAGCATGAGTTAGAACACAATGCACTAATTACCAAACACTACACCAATGCTGCTAACCACCAAACACTACAACACAAGTTAGAACACAATGCTGCTAACCACCAAACACTACAGCATGAGTTAGAACACAATGCTGCTACCCACCAAACACTACAACACAAGTTAGAACACAATGCTGCTAACCACCAAACACTACAGCATGAGTTAGAACACAATGCTACTAATCACCAAACACTACAACACAATGCTGCTAACCACCAAACACTACCACACAAGTTAGAACACAATGCTGCTAACCACCAAACACTACAACACAATGCTGCTAACCACCAAACACTACCACACAAGTTAGAACACAATGCTACTAATCACCAAACACTACAACACAATGGTCAGAAAACAATGCTAACGCTGTCGATGCTATTGATGCTAATCAGTGAACACTGCAACACAGGTCAGGATGCAATGCTAATTCTAATCACTAAACAGTACAACGCAGGACAGCGCTAATGCTAATTACCTACCGATACACCACAGGTCAGGACACAATGCTAATGCTGATGCTAATTACCAAACATTACAACATGTCAGGATGCAATGCTAATATTAATGTCGGTGCTAGTCACCAAACACTACAAAGGTCAGGAAACAAGGCTAACTGGAAACAGGACCCACACTAGCCAGTCAGGACCCACACCCGATAGTCAGGACCTACACTAGCCAGTCAGGACCCACACCAGTCAGTCAGGACCCATACTAGCCAGTCAGGACCCACACCAGTCAGTCAGGACCCACACTAGCCAGTCAGGACCCAGTTCATGGGAATTTTGTTTAAAATGATAATCAAACCAATGAACAACAGTTGGTTCCTTCTGCTCTGCTTCCAGGTAAGTTTACCTGCATTGAGGTGAAGTTCAAGCTGGAGAGGCAGATGGGTTACTACCTGATCCAGATGTACATCCCCAGCCTGCTCATCGTCATCCTCTCCTGGGTCTCCTTCTGGATTAACATGGACGCCGCTCCTGCCCGCGTTGCCCTGGGCATCACCACCGTCCTCACCATGACCACACAAAGCTCCGGCTCCAGAGCATCACTGCCCAAGGTACGCTCAAACTCCACTAACAGCACATCGATAGGCTCAGCTCGGAGGGGAAGATCTCAGTCACATGGAATCTAGCTACCTTGTAGCTAGAATCACTGGCTGTTCTACAACCCCATTGCCAAAAAGTTGGGACGCTGTGCAAAATGTAAATAAAAACAAAATGCAATGATGTGCAAATCATTTAAATTCTGTATTTAATTGAAAATAGTACAAAGACAACATATCAAATGTTGACACTGAGAAATTATATTGTTTTTTGAAAAATATATGCCCATTTAGAGTTTGATGCCAACAACCTGTTGTTGGGACGGGATCAACAAAAGACTGGTAAAGTTGTGTAATGCCAAAAAAAACACCTGGTGCTTACTTGACAACAGACATGATTCTGTAGTGGAAATCACTGCATGGGCTCAGAAACACTTCTGAAAACCACTGTCTGTGAAAACAGTTCATCACTGCATCCACAAATGCAAGTTAAAACTCTAAAACGTGAAGAAGAAATCATATATAAACAGGATCCAGAAACACTGCCACCTTCTCTGGGCCCGAGCTCATTTAAAATGGACTGAGGAGAAGTGGAAAAGTGTCCTGTGGTCCGACGAATCAACATTTGAAATTCTTTTTGGAAATCATGGACACTGTGTCCTCCAGGCTAAAGACCACTCAGCTTGTTATCAGTGCACAGTTCAAAAGCCAGTATTCATGATGGTGTAGGGGGCATTAGTGCACATGGTATGGGTGACATGCACATCTGTGAAGGCACCATTAATGCTGAACGATATATACATGTTTTGGCAACATATGCTGCCATCCAGACAACGTCTTTTTCAGGGAAGGCCTTGATTATTTCAGCAAGACAATGTAAAACCACATTCTGCATGTATTACAGCAGCATTGCTCCGTATTAAATGAGTCTGGGTGCTAAACTGACCTGCCTGCAGTCCAGACCTGTCACCGCTGAAAACATTTGGCTCATTATGAAATGAAAAATACAACAAAGGAGACCCTGAACTGATGAGCAGCTGAAATCCTGTATCAAACAAGAATGAGAAAACATTTCACTTTCAAAACTACAGTAATTGGTCCTCCTCAGTTCCCAAACGCTTACAGAGTGCTGTTAAAAGAAGAGGTAATGAATCACAGTGGTAAACAGGCCCCCGTCCCAACTTTTTTGGAATGTGTTGTTGGCATCGAATTCAAAATGGGCAAATATTTTTCGAAAAACAATAAAATTTCTTAGTTTCAACATTTGATATGTTATCTTTGTACTATTTTCTTTAAAAATATGGTTCATATGATTTTCATATCGATGCATTCCATTTTTATTTACAATCTGCACCGTATCCCAACCTTTTTGGAAATGGGGTTGTATACATCTATCATGTAACTGCACTTTGAAGGTGTAGTTACAGACTGGAGCCCATAGGTTGCACAGTTAATGAGCCGCATTCTTCCTCATTTATCACTGGTCAGTTTCTGGCCACAGGAACCCTGTTGACCAGGTGGTGTGTCTCTGGTATGAATGCATGTATATATTAGGTGTTTCCAAAAGTGGCCAAAGAGGGGAGCTGCAAGGAATGTGGAGCTAATAAATTGGCAATTCATACCACGTTTACACCTGGTTACTTCATGTAAAATGCAAATCATCTTATATACAATAACCAATGGCTTGTGCTGTTTCTTCTTTTTCCTGTTCCATTCAAAACATGGCTACCATCTCAAAAACCATGGTTTAGGTGGCGTTATTAATTTCCACACCAGCTTTACATGAGTGTTTACAAGAAGATGGCTGTTTGGAATAAATGGGTTCTAGGTGTATGAATGAAGTATCGGCATCTAGCACAGCTGGTGTTCAAACCTGTTTCCCACTGGGACTCTTTTACCAAGTGTTCCACTCCTGGGACCTCAGAGACTTTCGAGAGATTGGGGTTAATTCACTAGCGACTCATTTTTCTCAGAGTGTGTAAAAGTGTTCTAATCCCTCTGAGGCTTCGGTTCTTTATGTCTGATTTACAGCTGCCTAACTCCGTGTTCTTAATTTGCATATTCATGCTGTTCAATATTGACCTTCTGTGTAAGGAGTCATTAAGTGTGTAATTATCGGAAACTCAGCCAGCACGCTGTTAATGAACGAAGCGTAAAATTGTGAGCCGGTGATCGTTAAGTGTGATTTGCACACGTCAGTCAATACAATCAATACAGTGTTATTTGTTATAGAACACTTACATAAAGCTGAACAGGTGGCCTGGGAGCGCGTGGTCCTCTGTCCAGACAAAGCTGATGACCTGTTATTGTTTGAGTTGGGTTTTAGCGTCACCAAGATGGTAGCAGTGCTAATGCTGTGTTCAGACGAGACTTTCAAACTTGACGTTTCCTGTATTTCCACCTCTAAGGGTTCAAAAAACTCGAGGTGAGACAAAAACAGATGTTCATTGCAATCTAGCACTCGTTTAGCTGCATTGTTTATAAAAACCTCTGGAAAAAGGCTTTTTACACTGGAATTCAAGAGTTGTTACATAGTGGTTCGCTGTTCTTCATTTTATTATTCTACATTTTTTGTGACATTTTCACAGGTTGCAGTTTTAAAGCTAGAACCATGCACGATCGTAGAGCCTATGCGGGAATAGTGAACTTGTGCTTTTGGGGCTGATTCAAACAACCGTACGGTGTTTGTTCAAACAAGCAATTCTGTTTGACCTGTATTACACTGAAAAAAAACACAATATTTGATTTTTTACCTTATGAACCTCATTGTTTTTTGCCAATATATGTTCATTCTAAATTTGATGCTTGCAACATATTGCAAAAAACTTGGGAGAGGAGCACATTTACCACTATGTTACATCAGCTTTGAACATAAAGCATAGACATCACTGAAAAAGACGCTGTCTAGAAGGCAGCATATCGCTGTTGTGGGAAGAAAACCTCATATCTCCAAAATTATAACTTTACAGGAGAAGGAAAAAACATACTTTACTTTTAACGTAAGTCAATGGAACCAAACCTTTTTCCAAGTCATTTTGGGTCATTTCTTTTGGTCCATTCATCATAAAATTTACACACAATATAAAGAACAACAGGTATTTTTAAATTATGTCAAAAACTGAAAAATGACAAAAATGGAGATACGAGGTTTTTGCGTCACCCACTAATACCCCCAAAACCACAACAGACCATGGCTTTTGAATGTTATGCTGGTAACAATCAGGATGTTCTTTTATTTCTTTGGCCCAGAGAGCATGACGTCGGTATTTCCATTAACATTCTGAAAGTTTGACTCTTCAGACCACAGTTCACATTTCCACTGTGTGTCATTACAATTCAGATGAGCTCTAGCTCTGAGGAGGTGCTCCACCCAAAAGGTGCTATATAGAACCCTTTTCAAAAAGTTTCAGTAGGGTTCATGGTTCTATATAGAACTGTTTTCCTTACCAAAGAACCCTTGATGGTTTTTAAGAGTGTATGGGATTCCCATTAAGTAAAGGAGTTACCGATTTAGAAATGTAGACTGTTTCTTTTTTACTTCCCCCCAAAGTACATTTTGGCTCTATACTTCCACTTTAACTTCCATTTTTAAGATTTTGATGCAGTATTCATACTTTCACTTTCTTTTTTGACTTTTTCCGCTCCTGACTGTAAAATTAGCGCTGTTCATGGTTCAGATTTGGGCTTAAATGTTCTGCTACTCCAAAGCCTGTGAGAACCACTTCAGGAGCAGTGAGTCATCTCTGGATGATCAGCCCGAATCCCACACGCTGGGTTGCACGTGACCCATGAGTCCTACGTCACAAACTCAAATCAAAGGAGCATGAACTGATGAATATTTAGCGAAGAGGACTTTGAGGGCTCACGTTCAATGCAACAAAAGGCTCAGTGTGCGGCTTCTCCTGCTTTTGTTTGTTTGTTATTGTTTTTCAATGGTCAGCTCCACTTAACCTTTCCGAAACAGATCAGAAGCACGAGCGTGGCGGTTAGCGTGCGCCGCTCGCCTAGCCTAATCATCGGTTTGCCCTTGAATTCAATTTAACAGCCATAACTGTAATAAATAAATGCATGTGTCATTATGCTAATCTGATTTTCAAGTGATCGCTCGGAAATGAAGGCGCTCATTACTCGACAGCCAATAAAGCCTTAATCATGCCATGCTTTGATTACAAACTGGAGATATATAATAGCGTATGCAGATCAGCGTGGGCGGACGTGGCAGCAGCATAATGGAGCATTAGAGCCGTGGATGTGTTATTTTCCCTCAGACGTAGCGCGACTCCGCAGGAGAGGCGATGGAGAAAACTTAGCTTCCTCACAAGCTCATCAGATCTGTGATCAAAGTCCTGATTAGTCGGGAAATCCCAGACTTATCAGATAAACAATGAGCACGAGCCAAAAGAAAGATGCAAGTGAATGCAGTTTGGGTAGACATAAAAGAGGAGATACGTTTATGCTGGAAATGGTGTCTGCAGCTCCTTAAGAGTACTCGATTAGGCTGAAATTGCATTTTACAAATTAAAAGCCCTAAAAGTGGCTTTTAGTGGGGAGTCTCATTTCCAACCAGCCAATAAATCATCTTCTGTTTCATTTTCTGATTTCTGATGCCTTTTTTTGATTGGCTGTTTCATGAAACAGAAGTTGAGATGTTTGCAACTGTTGCGGCTGAATTTCAAATGACTCGCAGGATGCTTTACGTTATGCAAGTCAAGAGCAATTTAGTTGCATGTAAGTTTCAAGCAACTAAAGTTGCATGAAAGTAAAGCCAGCCGTATTAACTCTTAGGCAATAAACTGCAATAAAAACCCATCAACATCACCCTTCACTGGAACTGAGAGCCCAAACCCTGAAAAACAGCCCCAGCCCATCATCCCTCCTCCACCAAACTCTACTGTTGGCTCTGCATTCCGGTAGGTAACGTTCTCCTGACATCCACCAAACCCAGATTCATCATCAGACTGACAGATAGAGAAGCTGATTCATCACTCCAGAGAACACAGTTCCACTGCTCCAGAGTCCAGTGGCGGCGCTTTACACCACTCCAGCCGACGCTTGGCATTGCGCATAGTGATCTTAGGCTTGTGTGCAGCTGCTCAGTCATGTAAACCCATTCCATGAAGCTCCTGATGTTCAGGTCTTGTGCTGAGGTTGCTTCCAGAGTCAGTTTAGGACTCTGTAGTGATGTGAGAGTGATGCAACAGAAGAAAGATGATTTTTACTCACTTTAGCTTTCGGCATCCCCACTCTGGTCTAATGCTTCGTGGCTGAGCTGCTGTCGCTTCTATATCACAATAATAGCACTTACAGTTGACCGGGGCAGATTTAGCTGCGCAGAAATATCAGAAACAATACTTAAGACGCATGTCCACATACTTTTGACCATATAAAGTAAATGGACCAAAAGTCCAGCAAGTCTACATTTCTAAAGCAGTAACCGTATGCCATAAAGAAGCATAGTTATTTATAGCATACAAAATAATTTAGTGAAACTGAATCCCACAGAAAAATGAATTCTTAAAAGCTCAGCATTTTGACGTGACTTGCTTTAACATTCAACGCGAGCAGAGTTTCGCTCTCGGCTGAGAGATCAGTCTCAGTCAGCAGAGACGTTATCACAGGAGGAGATAGTTCACTGACTGAAATATGAATGGAACAGCTTATATCGCTCAGCACGGCGCCCGCATCACAGAAGGCCTCCTTCAATTAAAGGAGCCAGTCGCCTTCTTGGTGCCCTTTAAAGGGGAATCCTGCCTATTTTTCTGCATAACTCAGTGTGTGAGATGTAATCAGAGTGATTCAGAGTGGTTTGGTGTGAAATGGTTCAGATGTCTTTACAGTGGTGGTGATAGGAACCAGGGGTCGCCATGACTACAACACAAATATAGACATTTTATTTACTATCCAGAACCACCAGTGAACCTACACGAGTCTTCTGAGTTTATATGGAATGTAAATCTGAAAAATATTACCATGTTTCTTTTTGATACTATTTTGTCTCACAACGTCCTGCATGTATTCCTCCACCATGAATGGGTCTTAGTGACAGTAAATGAATATTATTATTATTATTATTATTATTATTATTATTATTGCTCTTTTACAGTGAATCCACACTGTGGTTTACATTACTGGAGAGCTTCTACTTCATAACAGTGCAGTCTTTCAAGTTGCAGATTTATCACATTATTTTCTGTACTTTCACAGAAAAAACATTAATTTTGAAGCTGTGAAGCAGAGGCGTCCAGTCTTAGCTGGTTTTCACTGCAAACAAGCAGGAGCACAACTGATTCCCCTTGTTTAATCAATCGGTCAGTCTTCAAACAACTGACCATGTGAGCTCCTGCTCTGTTGGAATGAAAACAAGCGGCCACACCAGCCCACTGTGGATATGATTACAGACCCCTGCTGTAAAGGGATTGTCAAGCCTGTGTATGAAAGAGTCCAGTTTCTGTAGGTCATATTGTGATGTAAATGGCTCAGATGTGTCTTTTTTGGACTGAAGACACCCTGAAATGATGGAAGTGAAGGCAGAGCTTCTCTTAAATGATCTTAAATGATGATGCCCCTCGTGCAGCAGCTCACGTGTCGGAAGGCAGAAGCTGGGGGCTGCCTGTAGATGAGTTACACCAACCAGAAGCAACCAAACACCCTTGTGCTGTGACATCACAACCTCAACTAACTGGCAGTCTGGCACAAAATATTCAGCTCAAGCCATTTTGGTCTTCATGGACATAAAAAGAACCAGGCTTTGCCATTTAAATCACAATATTGGTCAGAAAAATTAGTTTTCAATTAGATATTTTCCCCGAATCGTTCAGCCCTACCCCCACATTCTTAAAAAAGATGGTTCTTCATGGTGAAAGTGTTCCTCAGATTGATGTAGAGTGTGCTGTATATGTATGTGCTGTACATCTTTATAGAACCTTTTTGAAAAGGGCAATTACGCCTTTCCACCAGAGAGGTCTCCAAATCCCCAAATCTTATATAGTGCAGCTTTAAGATTTAAGTGGGTACATTAAACCTAATGTCACAAAGCTTGTGAACTGCCTTTAGACTCTGGCAGTATATATAAACTGGACCCTGTTTTCAATGGGGACCAGGTGAGGTCAATCGGGTCACTTCCTGATCAGTGTCTCGTGCGGTGGATAGCAGGAACGTGCAGAACCTTTTAGAAAAGAGTTCTACAAAGCACCAAAATGTGTTCTTCTATTGCTATGATGTCAAGTTGGTAACATTAGAAGAACCCTTTTCAAAAAGGTTCTATATAGAACCATATACAACACATTCTCCATCGGTCTGAAGAACAATTTCACCATGCAGAGAACCAATTAAGCATGCAAATGGTTCTTTGAGTGCTCATGGTTCTACATAGAACCCTTAGCCCTATCATCTTATTCACTGACTTGGGGAAGGGGTCATGAGCACAACATATGTTACAAAATGTTCTGCTGCACATTGCGTGCAATTACGCATCTCCACCAGAGAGGTCTCCAAATCCCCAAATCTTACATAGTGCAGCTTTAAGATTTAAGTGGGTACATTGAACCTAATGTCACAGAGCTTGTGAACTGCCTTTAGACACTGACAGTATATATAAACTGGACCCTGTTTTCATCTGGGACCAGTTGAGGTCAATCGGGTCACTTCCTGATCAGCATCTCTTGTGGTGGATAGCAGGAACCTTTTTGAAAAGAGTTCTACAAAGCACCAAAATGCATTCTTCTATAGTTATGATGTCAAGTTGGTAACAATAGAAGAACCCTTTTCAAAAAGGTTCTGTATAGAACCATATACAACACATTCTCCATCAATCTGAAGAACCATTTCACCATGCAAAGGACCATTCAAGCATGCAAATGGTTCTTTTGAGTGTTCAGAACCATCTTTTTTAAGAGTGCAGCTTGGTAGCATCGTGTGATAGACGGAGACCCCGCGAACAGATGAGAAGTTGACATGACTTAAAGGCACAGTAACATTCTAAGACAGAAAGAGAGGTTGGAAAACGGCCATGTAAAAACAAGGAGGATATGGGCCCTTTAATATGACCGGGGAGCCGGTATGAGTTGATTCTGATTTCAGATTAACTCTCAATGTACATGTAATGTAAAATGAATGTATAACATAACAACAATAACAGGTCAAAACGCCTAAAGCAGAGGTCTTTAATTAAAATTCAGTAAGGTCCAGTCAAAGAAAAGATCCTCAAGCAAAGGTCCAGAACATCATCATGTCTAACTTGCATCATGATTCAGTGCCATATACTGTTTACTGAAGTAGCCTAGTAGGAATATCAACATCTTATACAGTCAACAACTGAATGTCAAATCAAATAAAGTCCAATTCAGTCATATTTCAACAATATTTAGTGTCAGTTTTCTCTTTTTTACTGCCATCTGAAATAACTTCCCTCTGACTCACTTTCTTCTCCTACTGCTGTTTCTCGCCTCGTCCCTCCCCTGTGTGTGCGTCACTCACTCGAGTCTCAGTGCTCATCGTAATGCACAGATCTGATTGGCTGAGTAGCATCATGTGTGATTTTTACACCGCATGTGATTGGTCTGTGAGTCTCCCGGGCTGCTAAAGCCGTACTGTAAAGGCTAGAAAAGTTACGCCGATTAAAACAGGACCACCCCATCAAATTCAAATAATTCTCCATAGTTTATTGGTTATGGGTCCAGGTCCGCATAGGACAGCGTCTTGGTCCTATAAGGGACCTCTGGTCTAAAGGTTCTTGTGGAAAGATCATGCATGAGAAAAGTACAGAATCCATTCGACGTGAGATGCACACTGTTAGAAATAAAGGTTCTGTTCAGGTACATTTTTCGATCATTAAGGTACCAACAAAATAATTGTTCCCTTAAAGCTCCAACAGTGGTTTTAAGGTGAACCTTAAATAAGTTTTTCCAGGTGAAAAGTTCGTATTTGTACCTTTTCATAACTGAATGTTTTAAACAGAACAGTAAAATAAAAGCCTGGAGACGAGACGGGGTGTGTGGAGTCAGTACAGCTTAGAACATATCATTTCAGTGGATTATGGTTCAGTTATGTTCCCTGACTAAAGGTACTGAGATGGAGCCTTGAGGGTTCCACCCCAGTGACTAGAGGGGAACTGACCCAGTGACAGTCTAGTACCTTTATTTCTGAGAGTGCAGTACTAAACTGGTATTTCTGCTTGTACAGGTTTCCTATGTGAAGGCCATCGACATCTGGATGGCGGTGTGTCTGCTGTTCGTCTTCGCCGCTTTGCTGGAATACGCGGGAGTGAACTTTGTATCCAGGCAACAGAAAGAGTTCCTCCGGCTGAAACGAAGGCAAAAGCGAAATCTCAAGGTACCAACACTGATCTAATAATGTGAAATAGAAGCTAAGTCCAAACAGCCAGAGCTGACACGCCGAAACGGCTCTCCAACACCAGCAACGCTCCGAATCAGTGTACAAACACTAATGTCCAGAGACAGGGTGCGAACATCAGTGCAGCACTGCAAAAGGCAGGAAAGGCTGCGGCAGATCTGTGAGCCGTCGGCTCTCCTGAGTGAGGAGCAGCACAGGCTTCTTCTGATGATGCAAGGCGCCATCATTTGGCAAGCAGTCAATTTGTCGCTGTTCAAAAACTAAATCGAGCGGTGCCGGCTAAAAGGGATAAGCATTATCCTCACAGACAGGGAAGCATTAACTCTGAAGTAATGAATAATTTACTCAATCAAAAGCAGTCTCTGGCTTAATAATGAACTGTGTAGACCTCTGGAGCGAAGTGGCATCAGTGTACAGTACTGCAACAGTCAGAGACCACCTTTCATTATTTCATTGCCAGTGAAAATGGCTATTGAGTATTGAGTACAAGTTCAGCACCAGGAAAAGAAGCAGAGACAGAAAATTACAGAAAAGCCTCAACAACTAGTGTTCAGTGTTCACCTTTATTCCAGCTTCCATTCTCTTCAGGAGACTCACTTTCAGCTCCTCAAAGAATCTGCAGACTCTTTTCTGAAGTAATCAAACACATTCAGTGGTGTTGAGGTCTGGACTCTGGGGTGGTCAGTCCGTCGTTCAGCTTCTTTGTTTGATGTGTCCGTCTCCTTTTCTCAGTGAGGTTCTTCTTGATCAGCTACACATCCTTTCAGACCCACAGCGCTGAGTCGTCTTCTCACAGTGGAAGGATGGACAGAAACACCTGTGGATGTTTTCAGATCTGAAGCAGCTTTAAGTGCAGTTTATCAGATGGGGGCAGTTTTGGGGTCCACCAGGTCTTCCAGGTGGTTGTTAGGATCCTCCGTAGCTGTTGATCATTTTTTAAACCCCAGTTCTGAGAACTTATTTCTCATCCAATTGGATTATCTTATATCTAATCTCCTCAGAAATATCTCCTGAAAAATAATTAACTCGTACTTAATGACCTGGAATTTAAATGAATATAAGGTGGTCCGACTTTTGCACAGCACTGTATACGGATCATTCTACCAAACGAAATCAGAGATGAAAACACATTTTGGACTGTTAACTCCTTTTGCTTTGAGTGACCCTAAACCTGAAGATGTTAATATTAATTTCAACCAAATGACTCAATGTTCCATTTTGTCATTCCCAATACAATAATAACGCTTCCAAAACTTTACCAATTGTTTCAGTAGTTTTATCTAATTTTGAGTAGAACTCAAAAACGCAGCCAGTACCTGACCAGCAAACAGCTTTGAACAGCTGTACAAACATAAAATCATCACATTGTTCATTAAAACAAAAAGTTTACTGAACTGAAGACAATATGTGTTTCAGTAGTGACAACTCTTAATGTTCCACACTGATTGTCAGACTTTGGACAAATTTACCTCAAAACAATGGGATCTAACTGCTCACCATGTGGCCATGAGGGACAGGGATGCAGCCTCACTTCCTTCCCTGAAATGCAGGGGGTGGCTAAAATGAGCCTCTGCCTATAGACTAAAACTCTTTGTGTTTCATTTCTTTATTTAAAAATTAAACTGAAATCTGAATTTTTTACCTTTACTTAAAAAAAGAAAATAGAAAAAAAATGTAAGTATTATATTCAGAAGTGTAAATTTAGGGGTTAGGGTTTGGGACAGTTACCTCTCAAAAGAAAGTACCGTATAAATGATTATTGTATATATATATATTTAGCTTATTACTATCTCTAATAATGCCTTAAATAGATCAGAACATAATCCTTGTAAAAGGTCTGAGTATTTAATATTTTTTATTACAGGAATCCTTTTGCGTGACCCTATACCTTAAGTATGTTTATATTAATTTAAACCAAATGATTGAACGTCCCATTTTATAACACTTCCAAAACTTTACCGTTCCAGTAGTGACAATTTTATCTAATTTTGAGTAGAACTACAAAACACAGCCAGTACATGACCAGCAAACAGCTTTGAACAGCTGTTCACACATAAAATCATCATATTTTCCATTGAAACAACAAAGGTTTACCGAACTGAAGACAATATGTGTTGCTGTAGTGACAATCGTTAATGTGCTGAGTTTCAGACTTTACATTTACAATATTTAGCATTGCTCTTATTCAGAGCAACTTACAGTTTGATCATCATTCACAGGTAGGTGAAGGTAGTGTTAGGAGTCTTGCCCAAGGACTCTTATTGGTATAGTGTAGGGTGACTACCCAGGTGGGGATTGAACCCCAGTCTATAGCGCAGAAGACAGTGGTGTTACCCACTACACTACACTACACTACACTACACCAATTTTGGGACACATTTAGTTCAAAACAATGGGATCTAACTGCTCACCATGTGGCCATGAGGGACAGAGATGCAGCCTCACTTCCCTGCTCTGAAATGTGGGGCGTGGCTAAAATGAGTCTCCGCCTAGATTAGATAGACAGAGTAAAACTCGGTAGTGACATGAAAAAAGTTTTTATTTAAAAATGAAACCTATGATAAATCAAAATCTTTTAGCTTCACTTTAAAAAACTGAAAAAGATCTTTAAAAATAATAAGTAATTGTAAATTTGGGGGTTAGAGTTTTGGAACTGTTAACTCTTAACAGAAAGTACCATATAAATGATGATTTTGTATATATTCATCTTATTACTATCTCTAGTAATGTCTTGGGCTTAAAAGGATCAGAACATAATCCTTGTAAAAATCTAAGGTCTGAGTATTTATAATATTTTTTATTGTAGGACTGCAGTCTGAACTAATTCAGTTCCGACGTTCTGAAGGCGCTTGCAGGGTATTTTGAATGCAAATGAAGCAGGCAAGCCTGAGCTCCTCTTAAGAGCTCCTCTCTGGACGCGAGACGCTGGAATTAATGCTGCGGAAAAAATCATCTCTCCACTTTTAGGTAAACCGTAATAAACACAGCATTAGAGGAGCGAACAATGAGGTCAGTCCGTGTTATTGAAAAGTGTGTCAGGCTGTCCTCGGGGATTCCTCTGGATGGTTAAATAAATGAAAAAGCTTCAGTTGGCGACTGGCGCTAATTTGTAGCGAGGAACTTCTGCACCCCTACAGGCTTCAGGAAAGTTTCGGGCACAACACCTGAGACACGGTTTGGCTAATTCCAGCCAAAAAGGAGAAAAGAGGGATGAAAAAGACAAATGCTTCATTCTGCTCATTAAGAACTCACCGCAAATTAGCCAAGCGAGCTTCTTTATTAAAACTGCATGCTCCTTAACGAGCTAGCCTGTGGCATCGGTCATGTTTTTCCTGTTCTGTTTGTCTGTTTTCGTGTCCCGTCACGAATGAATGATGGCTGTTCTTTTTTGCTGTGGATGTCCAGGAGGAGGAGCTGAGGGAGGGACGTTTCCATTTCTCCGGCTACAGCATGGCTCCGTGCATGAAAGATGGCGCGGCGGTGAAAAGCGCCACGGCTAACGCCGTCCAGCAGCCGTCCATCCTGAGGGACGCCGAGCACAACAGGAAGAAGTTCGTGGACAGAGCGAAGAGAATCGACACCATCTCCCGAGCGGCCTTCCCTCTGGCCTTCCTCATCTTCAACATCTTCTACTGGATCACTTACAAAATAATCCGACACGGGACCGCCGCCAAAGTGTAGCGGCCGCGCATGCTTCGGAACCGGCGATCCTCCGTCGCTTCTGCGGAGAAACGGCAAACGAGGAAAAGCTCGGTGTGGGAGGAGGCTGATTTCTGCGGAGGTGTCTCGTTTTCAATCAGGGATAAAAGCATGAACTGAATGGTGGACGATTGTTGGACGATGATGCAGAACGTTCCAAAGGCAGCCAGTGCGCTGAAGTGAAGGAGAACATGTTGAGTAATTTAGAAGAGCTATTCCTTACAAAGCACAGTGCAGTCCAGAAGTAACTGGACAGTGCCACGGTTTGTTTTGGCACATTGGTTATGAATTGAAACAATGGCTGGGAGGTTTAAGGTCAGGGTGTAAATAAAGAGGATTTATAACTATATTTGGTGAAACAATCACAGTGACCGAAATTAATAGGACACAGTCAATGCAGTCTTCAATGAAATCGTCCCAATTAGTATCTGGATGTGACCAATGAGTGCTGGAAGTCTGTAGCCTCTGGATCTAGAGATGCTCTGACAGGCCTGTTTCTGAGGCCTGCTGGCTTTTTGCGCTTTTTTATTCACCTTTTTTGCAAGTTTTAAAAATGTGCATAAAAAACAGGATAGAAAAGCCAGAAATGTTTTAAAAATGCCAAAATATTGCAAAAAAAACAGGTTTTTATGCTTGGATGAGGTGGAAAAGTTGGTTTATTGAAGGAGAAATGTGAAAACTGGTGAAACAGGAAGCAGATTTTTTAGATAAGTGTTGATGAAAGCAGGTGGGTCTGGCTTTCATTCGATCCCAAAAAGAATCAATTCCTCGATTCCAGGCATTCGGGAATCGAGAGTCGGCTCCAAAGCTTTCGATTCTACAGCGACAAGTTTGCCTGCACCAGCAAACACAAGGAGAAATTCTGCTGACACTGTCTGAGACAGTGTTTCTTAAACGCTGGGTTATGATTTGACAACATAAACATGCGTATGAATATTATCTTTCGCACAACGTCTGACGCTGACAAACGACGCTGTGTAAAACAGGGCCAGTTAGAGTTACATGGACGCATTAATAAGCAGAATGACCGAACAATTTTCAGTTGGTTTATCATGGCTGACACTTCACCGCCATTACTGTTCCACATCGAAGAGACCAAAAAATATTGATCTGTTAAACAAAAATGACATCTTGGCACTTCTGAGAACCCTTGGTCTGGGCAGTTCTTATGAAACATACTCCCTTCTACAGGTCACACATCAACAGTCCAGCCATGTTTTACTGTAGACGAAGTGTAAAATCAATGGAAAATGGAAAATTTGTAACAAAAAATTGGCACAAACCGCATCGCAGGTGCTGGACCATCTATCCAGTTGTTGACAAAGGAGAACAAGGTGCAACTTAGCCAGTCCCTGTTGGTTCCACCCTTTGGATGAAACATCCCAAACTGCATATTCATTAAAACTGCATTTTTTGTGGTTGTTATCTAGTTTGCATGGAATTTTACACAGTAAATCATTTACATTTATTAAGTGACCCTTATTAGTCCCACAACAGGGATATTTCACCTCTGCACTTTAACCCATCTGTGCAGTGAAACACCACATACACACTAGAGAACACACACACTAGGGGGCAGCGAGTACACTTGCCCAGAGTGGTGGGCAGCCCTATCCACAGCACCTGGGGGTTAGGTGTCTTGCTCAAGGGCACTTCAGTCACATACTGTCAGCTCTGGGGACCAAACCAGCGACCATCTGGTCACAAGGCTGGTTCCCTAACCTCCAGCCCACGACTGCCTCCCTATAGTATTTATGGCATTTGGCAGACACTCTTATCCAGAAGAACTTACAGTTCAATCATTCGACACAGGCAGGTGAAGGCAGTGTTAGGAGTCTTGCCCAAGGACTCTTACTGGTATAGTATATGGTGTTTGAGGTGCTACCCACTAAACTACTCCAATCACAGTTAAATCACTTTAATCATTTAAATCAGTTAATGTTTTGGCTGTTATTGATTTATTTATATTCGGGAATCAACCTTTCGTTGGCTCTCTTGTGCATGAACTAATGCTGCAATGACAACAAACAGTCTATTACCAACTATTGTTGGTTCCCTATAAGGAACTATAAGGGCTGTAATTCCTATGTGGTTCACCTAATATGAACGTAAATACCCTCCAAAAACGTTGACATTCTGTACCGTTTCATTTCAGATCCACTGTGCCGGAGAACAGAGCCACTGTCCAGTTACTTATGGATTGCACTGTAAACACAGTTATTGGCCAAATGTTGATGTGACAGTACTGCCACACTATTTGTATGAGCCTCAAACACAACATTCCATCGGTTTGTACAACAGGGAAGTCCAGATTTTTACGAGATTTCATACAAAAGGATGATTATGGGTTTTATACTGTTGTCTTTTGGCTTCCGACAGTTTGTACGGATTCAGTCACAATTCCTTCCTCTGGTTAGGCAGAGAAACGCCTGCGTGCTCGTTCACTAAATCCTCGGGACGTGTGAAGTTCAATTCCAAGGCCGCGAGTGAAGCATCCCAATTGTTGGAACCCTTAAGCCTTAGACAAGACATGCTGAGTAGGATACGTTTCTATTTCCTCACACTTCTGATGCAACGTTCAAAAGCATTTCTTTTACCGCTTACGCAACCGGCTGGTGTTTTCAACAACACGCGAAAGTAAACCTTGTAGTCACAAATGCGAACTGTGTCTTCTGGTGTTTAATTGCTGTGTGGAACATGAAAATGCCCTCCAGGGAAGTGGTTGGAAATACTAGGCTAATAAAATGTCACATATACCCGACATTTTTCATCCTACCTGCTGACCTATTACTTGCCTGAACATTTTCTAAATGCCACTGCTGGACGTCAGAGAGGAGCAAACACTGAACGGCTGATTCTCCTCAGCAATGTGGTCGTTTAAGCCCAGGAAGGCATTTCACATCCATGAGGGGAAACAAAGAAAAATGAAAAACGTAGAACATTAGATGAAATTAGCTGTTCAGTGAGGGGAACCGAGTATTCAGACACTGTTGTTTTTGCTATTTAATACGCTTCCAGTGCATATTATTCACTTCAGATTGACTTTAAATAAATATGTATTCACCAGCATAAACAAAGATGTGTTCAAAAGCAAAATTGACAGAGGAAAAGTATTAAGACACCACCAATAAATAACGTTAGTACTTTGTAAGATGTAATTAGTTTTTGTTTGTTTAATTTTTTTCCTGTTACTCTTAGCAAACTGTCTTCAATTCCCCAAGGTTACCAGGGTCTAGGTCAGACATGTCAAACTCGGTATCCTCCGGGCCAAAATGCTGTGGAGATCAGTGTTTACCCTCATCTACCACTCTGAATTCAGTTCATGAAGACCTTGCTAATTAGCTGATAAGCTAAATCAGGTGTGTTAATTGAGGCAGTGTGCAGTGTTTTGGCCTGCAAGGACTAGAGCCTGACACATGTGGTCTAGGCTGACCATACCAGAGAACTTGTGGACATTAGAATTCCCACTCTGCAATGTCTTCCAGGTTTCTCAAACACTAGAGGGCGCTCCTGAGTCCAAAATGAATGGGTTGATATGGAGCATTTGAGCAAAATCATAGTTTATAAATGCTGAAACATTTTTAATGTAAAAGAATTCATTTATTTCCTGAACACAGAGCAGCATAAAACATTTTAACACTGCTAGTATATTTTTAAGAGCTTTTAAACTCGAGCTATAGGAGTTTAAAACAGCGCCTCATGTATGTCCATGACGTCAGTGAGCGCTAACAGCCAATGAGCTGCTCCGCTCGCCAGCCAATCAGCATTCAGTATCAATAATGCCCGCCTTCTGCTGCCCAAAACCCGTTTGCTGTAGTAAAGGAAACACACAGGTGAGATTTCTTCACCTTTTTAGTGAAATCCATCCTTCTACTGTCTAAGATTAAAGGAAAGTTCTGGTTCAGTGATTAGAAACTATTTTAACTTTTCATTTTTAGCTGTTGAGCTCCATTCACTCCCATTCATTGAGGACTCGCTCGCGGGCGCCCTCTGCTGTTTTGCAGTCCTGTTTTTCATATAACAGGGGAAATAGGAAGTGGCCAGGCTCCTCATAAACTGGCTCTGACCGTACGTCCTCTTTTTCCTGGACATGTCCTCTTTCTGGGACCTTAAAAATGGATCCAGCCAGGATTTCTAAATCGCTGAAAATGTTCAGGATTGGGCTTTTGCTTTTGACAGTCGTCCATTCATCGTGTAAAAACAGGTTTGACCTTTTTCTTTCAATCTGCTTCTCGCATGCTACCTTTGGCCGGTCATGTACACGCCCTTCACGCAAACACTGGTCAAACTGCATCTTATTCATCACCTCCAGCACCAAAGCAACAGCCGAGAGACAGAGCTGTTGCCTGCACAGCATAAAAATGTCCAAATGCAAACATACATTCGTGGATGGATTACAGAATTTATCTTTCCGTCTCAGTCAGGAAGCAGAATGCATGACCTGCAAAGCCGGCATGTACGTGTCAGTGTCAGATAAAGGTGCTAGCAATCTAGAAGCACACCTGAACACATCAGGAGAACGGAAAGGTGTCTAGTGTAGGGGTGCACACCTCTGGTCCTGGAGGGTCGGCATCCAGCACAGTTTGGAGATTTACCTGCTCAAACACACCTGATTCAACTCATCTGTTAACTGCCAGGCTTAGTGGGTGTGTTTGAGAGGGCAAACTGTGCTGGACACCGGCCCTCCAGGACCGGAGTTGTTCACCCCTGGTCTACTGACATTTAATGGCAACTGATTTTTTTTATTTTATTTGAATTCATGGCCATGAGAAGAAACAGTGTTATGTAAACGAGAGCTGTTTATGTATTAAAGTTCAATAACAATCCAAGTTGCACGTTTGTGGACACATTTATCAACTATCAACGCCGCCCCCTACATAAACACTGCAACCTTCCACCCACTGCGGGGGTCCATCTGGACCATGCCACCATCCTGCCTCCAGTGTCCTCTGTTTTGAAACCAAACTATGGTCACCCTACCAGGGTCCGTCTGATGGACGGGCAATTTCAAATTCCTCCATGA